GCTCTTCTCCTCTTAGGCCTCCCACCCTTCTATGTTGCAGTGGGACAATCAGGGAGGCCTGCGGCAGGAGTGCTAAGCCCGGGCCTGGATTTGGAGCACGGCTGCTCTCGGTTGAGCTGGATCCAGGCCCCCCGAGGGTAGAGGGGGGAGGGAGTTTGGGAGGAGATGGAGGAGAGCAGAAGCAGCGAGCAGTACAGTTCTGGATCACCTTCAAAGAGCTCCAATCCCAACGGAGAGACTGGATTCCTCTGTGGAGAGGGAGGGAGAGCAAAGGGGGAGTGTACGAAGGGAGAGAGAGAGGGGGAAAGACATGGGAGACAAGAAGAAAGTGTGAAAAAAGAAAGGAAAGAAGTGGTTGGGGTTATAACTTCTTTCCCACTCTTTGACTCTCCTCCTCCCTCTTTTCTCTCTGCACGGCGTGCATGCACTTGCCCTTCATACAGCAGGCTATACTGAGATGATCTATCTGTGTGCTGGAGCAGGGAGACATGGGAAATCTGCCTCGCACAAAGGCAGCGTTGTGCCTCCCTGGAGCTTCCTTTAGGGGCCTGCATGTGTGTGTGTATGCCTGTGTTTGTCTGTGACAAGGATGAACAGGAGTTTACCTTCTCAGGCCCCCCCACCCTCCAGAAGGTTCTTAGAACGCAAACACACACACACATACACACACACTCCCAAATGTTCCTCCAAAATGCCAAGGACATTGCCAACTAGGCGTCTTATTCTTGTGGTAGCTGACTTTCAAACTCTGCACCTATAAGCCTCTTACTGAACACAAAAAGGTGTGTGACAATTTAGGAAACCTTGGATTTGTTCAGCTGAAGTCGGGCATTTTTAAGTGTTGTGAATTTGGGGCAAATAGTTCATTTTATGGTTTGAGTACCAGTGTGTGTTTCTACGTGTGCATCAGTGACAGACCTTCATCCTGAGTCTGGGTCAGCAGTTTGTTTAGCATCAATTAGAGGCTCTGTGTTCCTCAACGCAAGCGTGAAGGGAGAATTAACGTGCAGTGGCACATTCCCACCAGCGCATTATAACACACGGCACCTCAGCTGGAACAGCATGTTTGTGCATGCGCGTGTCTTTATACTCACGTGTGCACGCACATATGAGTGTGCATAGGTAAATGATTCAAGTTCAGAAAGTCCTTTTTTTTTTACTTTTTTTCCTCCTCCGCACTCTTCTTACTTTCCTCTCCTCACTTTCAAGGACTATGGTCTGGCCACAGCCATTTCCCTTAGCCTCTGCTTTGCCTAGCAACTCACAGCACATAGTTTCCATAGAACATGCATTTATGGGAGAGAAGATATATAGATACTGGAGGAAGACTCTTGTAAAGACAACTGGGTCTAAAGATGTTCTGCTCCACTAAGACAAAGTCTGAAAAACACATGTTCAGTGGCTTTTGTGCAGACTTCTTTCTTAAAGGCATGTAGAAGAAGTCTCAAGATGGCATGGAGCTGGAACGGGGCTAATATTATCCTGACAGCAACAATAAATACAGGGCATGGTTATGAAAAATGAAACGCCAATGTAATTACTTTGCCTTGTGGTGGTGGGTTATGTTTTTATTGTTATGGTTTTGATCCAGTCTTTACACAAAGACTAATCGTTGCTTAACAGAATGATTCAAAGTGATTATAACTTCAACCATCTATCCTTTGGAAGCTAGTAAAAGAGGTCCTTCGAGACATTGCATTAACAGCCTAATTCCCACTAGTGCTTAAAAAGCTTTTTGGTCTTTAAAACCATATATTAATGCATTTTAATTTAATAAGGTCAGTTTGCATATTGTTTCAACAACACAGAGACAGAAAGTAAAGAAAGAAAGTTCTGCCGAACCCATTTGATTTTTAATTAAATAACTCAAACAGCAAGCAAGCCAGTTGCAACCTGTTGGTTTTCCGTTACTCAAAGCTTACAAGACAAGGACAAAGTAATCCCTGTGGTGCATGGTATTAAGTCTATTTTGCAGATGTAATATTTGAACCCAAATGTAATAATTACATTGCTTATTCTGCAACATTATTCAAATGAAAGTGCACTGGCCCCAAATGCCCAGAAGTTCTGTTGGGTTTGGGCCAGGCTGCAGATCCTAAATACCTTCATGAACTTTATGTTTAGATAGTACAATATGGTTGTATTATATTATGATGTTATTAGCACCTCTTTCTGTTGCAGAGTCAGTGTTGTGCTCCTCAAATAATTTTTGAGGAACAACACATCCACAGGATTTTTTTTCTTTGATAACATTTTCCAAGAAGGATATGCATCATTCATGATCATTCAAGATTATTATGTTAGAAGTGATTAGAACATGCCTAACCCTCTTAGGGATTATTGGATTGAATTCATGCCAGAATATGTACCACACACAGGCACACCATTACCAGAATCCTTTAGTTTTGATGTAGCTTTTTTCTACTTGATTACATCCTATGAATAAATAGGGAATGTAGTTTAATTTATTTTGTGCCCCCTTAATGTTCTTTGATGGGCGATGGGATGTCAGTGGGCCTCTGCCAAGAGGAAGGTTTCATGGCTTTGCCAAGGTATGCCCTCCTCCCTCTCTCTCATGTGGAGTAAGGCTCTATACTCGCTTGTAAATAGTGAGATAAGTGTGGTTTACCCGTAGCTAAGGTGTAAGGTGCACCCAGCACCGCCCTGACATGTCTGTGCCAGAGCCCAACAGGGGTGTAATTACCTGAGACTGGGTCAGCACTTTATCCTGGGTAAAAATACCTGCCTACTTATAGAAGGGCAATAGAGGGGGCAGCTCATGCAAGGGGAAGCCTGTCTTCACACATCCTCTGAGAGAACTGTTTCTCTATGTTAGGCAATGTTCTCGTATTTTCTTCACTACTGCTTTAGAAAAGACACTTAAATATCTGTAATGGGGTCTCCTAGACAAATCCTTTCCATCTTCTTTTTCTGATTTACATGTCTGTGACGGACTGACCCACAAAACACTTTAACACACGTCCAATATTCCACTCTCTGCCTCCAACTGCAGCCGACTTTCAGTCCAGTACCTTTCCGCACTCTCTGTATTCCCCTTCTCCGCCCCTTTCACACCACATCTGTCTCTCTGCCCTCCGAGTCAAGGACAGAGAGGGCCAAGCAGACATGCAGAGGACAGCTCTGCACCAATCAGGAGACAGAGAAGGCTTGTGTCAATTAAATGGTATGTGCTTATGCCGCAAATCACAGACACATGTTCCCTTCTCCCCTCCCACCCTGTGGCTGTTGCCTCTCTTCTCCACCACCTAATGCAGCGTAATCATCCTCATTACCTAATGAGACCTTACTGTACACACACTCTCTCCCTCTCTCTCCTCCCCTTACACATGTGTATAAAAGGCGGCCACATCATCACACAGAATGGTATAGTTATGCAATACACAACCATCTGAACCTCTACTACACTATCCAACAGAGGGTCTCTCATTGCCACAACACTGTAAAGCCTCTAATGCCACAGTAATACTATTGTAGTGTGTATTATCAACAGGACAGTGAGCACGGAATTAGGCAGGCAGCTGGGGAGGGGAGAACCCCCTCATTAGCTTCCTTCAATGTATCTACTTCTCCTAATCTCTTATAATAACATAATCTCTTTAAAAGTGCTGCAGCTTAAATCCAATCTGCCTAAAACCTGACACGTGATTGAGGTCAATCCTCAGTAAACCCCAAACTGTGGGGTCCCAAGAACTCCATGAACAACCCCCACCCATCTGAGCTACAGTACAGTACAGTGTGCAAGTATTACTTTTATGCTTTGCACCGGGCAGAGTGCTGCACAGAATTGACGTACAGTATTTATTTCACTGATTCAAACACTTATCTGCGTCAGACGAAGCCCTGCCTTCTGCCTGCGTGTGCCTCTGATCCCAGAGCAGTTTGTATCCTTTTCACAGCCTCTGTTCTACCCTACTCTGGTAGTAGAGCGCTGTTCTGCTCTTTTTATTTTTTGATGTTTTTCCATAGTGTCTCTTGCCTCCAAACCACTTACAGATGTTGGCAGCGGGGAGCGTTGTGGCAACTCCAAACGAGGAAATCTAAATAGAGATCAGGCTGTAAAAAAAAGAAAAGAAGAAGAAGGCCAGGAGAAAGAGAAAACAAGGGGAAAAGCTAGAGAGCAAATGAAAGAATGGGGTGAATGGGTGACAGAGAAGGCAGAAAGAAGTCAGTGAGCATTTGTGTGGAATTAGCAGAGAGCAAAAAAAGATATACTTTCTGTGCATGTAAGAACACTGATTTTATTTGAGGGCAACTTTTATTGTTTTGTCAGTAAAACTTGGGTTCAAACTCTTTATTTGGTTTTTCAATCCAGAGTTTCATCCTCTGATTAATTTCCCAAAGAACAAACCAATATAAGCAGACATATATACAATTGTCTTGTGAGATCTCTGTGATCTTGAGAAGGAAAATAAAAGACACATCCTCTAACAGGAATAGATGTGCTTTTACAGTTAGGTTTCCCTTTTTTATTTTTGTATGAAATAGCAGTCTACAGTTTATACGAATTACACCCACCAATTGTCATTTATCAAGGCAGTCTAGAAAGCAGGTTTTTTAGTTTTGAACGCAGACTTGGCATGCCTCTTTGATAGTAACTCTATGTTCCCTCCCTCCACCTGTGTTTCAGGAAGTAGCCTCTAGATCAGAGAGGAAATGTGTTGAAATGCCACAACCGGCTCCGAGCTGCGAGTCAGAGGTCACTACAGCTAATGCTTATTATGTCCAGACACCTCCTAGGAAGAGAGAGTACAGCGAGAGAGAGAGAGAGAGAGAGAGAGAGAGAGAGAGAGAGAGGGAGGTGGCAGCGTGTTTGCAGTCATACCACTCCCTGAGCGGTGATTGTAAAGATGAGTGACCTGTCTCCCCCATCTCTCCTCTCCCTCCCTCCCTCTTCTTCCTCTCTCCCCCTGCACTTTATTTATTAATGGATCCATTCAATTATTTACTTCACATCTTAGGGCGACAACAGGCCAGAGCACAGTACACAGGGTGGAGATGATACAGCAGACAGCACTGCTCAGGTACTTGGTGGAGTTAATTGGCTGGTGGGATATACATCCAGCATGTAGTGGTGAATAGAACATGTATCTATAGTTAAGTATTAACCAAAAGCATTTGATTTGGAATTTCTTAATTTTATCTAATTTAATTTAAAAAAAACTCATTAATTTGATTAATCATTTAGTCTATTAAATGTCTGGAATTGTGTTGATTGAGCAGTCAAAATTGTAGAGATATTACATTTTGATGATATGAAACACAAAACTTTACCAAACTCCTTTTTTTGTTGTGCCAAAAAAGCGAATGTTTCTCTAAATTACTAGAATGATTGTACAACTAGAATCTACAAATAAGGCGTCTACATACTACAACATAAAATGCACTGTAATGTATTGAAATTCCAAAATGTATATAAAATAATTATATTTAGATTCCCCTCTATCAACTGCTCTAGTAAAATGCTACTTACACATTCATGCATCAGAAATGATCATCCAATAATATAATGGTTGCTACTTACTAAAAAAAGGTTTTTGCATTGTGTGTACTTTTACTATACTTAAAATAATACTTAATAATACATCATATGTTTCCTTAGGTGAATTTGCCTGCAATTAAGTGGCTGTACTGAATTGCTGCTTTAACTTATTTGGATTTTCAGTGACAGCCGGCAGTGCTTGAACAGCAGCAGGCGCCTTTGACATGTCCTCATGAAATACGGTCTGTATACCTTTTAAAAGTGTGCGGGGTGGGGGGACATTATAACGTCCTGTTTGCAGTAGAGGTTGATGGTTCAAACGTATCATTGACCGCTCGGTGTCTGCTCTTATCTTATCCCCCTGCCCTTATCCCTGCAGCGTCCAGACATGGATCAATCCCACCCGGAATTGGGTTTCACATCCCGGAAGCAGAGATGTACACATGGGTCACTTTCATCGACTCTCTGCGGCCATGGCCATAGGTATCCATCATACAGACCATTGACTGGTTGTGACCATGAAGGTACAGATTCATCACGGAGAGAGGCTGCGGTGGACGAGGTCAGCGGAAAGCAGCGACTACTTCTCGTCTGCAACCATGTGGAAATGGAGCCTTTTGAGATATTTTCAAAATGATGACGTAATTACAGTATAACATGCAGTTAGAAGAAAAAGTTACTGATGAGCATTTATGTGGAAATTTATATTTTATGATATGGACAAATTTCCCAACTCAAAATTAAGTATGCAAAACAAAATATTAAATAACACATTTTAATTAAAGTACATGTCAGTGTGTCTTTTTGTTTATATGCATGCGTATCTTTGTGAACAGCAGCATTTTAATGGCCACGGACTGATAGAAAATCGATTTTTGTTCGCCTGTTTAACTTTGCCAATCTGTGTTTTAGTCTAAGAATGATGTGATTGTTAGTTTGTAATTTTTTAAGATTGTGCGTCTGTTGGTGTTTTTGTATTTGTGTGTAACAGGCTGAGGATAAATAACGCAGTGATGTCGTCTTGATCTGAACTCCACACAGTGCTGGGCTTGGCTGAGGATTGAAGGAGAGAAGATGAAGGGAAGGATGATGGAGAGCTGGATGAGGGAAAGACGAGGAAAAGAAGATGGTGAAGATTGATTTTCATTGACTTGGCTCCAGCGCACTGACAACTGTGAGATTCCAATAACCAGCCTGAAACACGTGCATACACACTGCAGAGATATGGTGAATAGTTGGGAAATATTAGCAAATGTTTTCAACTGCGATCAGTCTGATAACACTTGAGAATAAAAAATAAAACCCAGACAGACACTTGAGACTAATTAGAAAAATATTTATTTCATCCCCTATTCTTATTGTGTTAGCATCACTAAGTGAACACTAACACCCACTATACACACTCCGAAAAACCCTCTCAGTAACTGCTTAGTGTTGTGTGTGTGTGTGTGTGTGTGTGTGTGTGTGTGTGTGTGTGTGTGTGTGTGTGTGTGTGTGTGTGTGTGTGTGTGTGTGTGTGTGTGTGTGTGTGTGTGTGTGTGTGTGTGTGTGTGTGTGTGTGTGTGTGTGTGTGTGTGTGTGTGTGTGTGTCCATCCCTTGGGGAAAGCCTGCTTTAATTCCCCGGGAAATCATCGTGATTTAGAGTAACAGGGAAGTCACTTCCAATGAAAGTCAATGGGCCGCTGGTGTGGCAGTGGGCTGCACTGCTTATGTGTGTGCATGTATGTGTATCTCATCTGTGACTGTGTTTACGTGTGTGTGTGAACAATATAACTAAATGGAGTTTTATCTAAATGTAATTATATCAACACTATAACGCAGTAGGAGTTTGAGCCGTATATATAAGCTGTTTGTTCATTTAATAACCATGAATAGAGGAAATGCAGTGGTATACGTACAAATCACCTTACACTCTTTAACAAATTATGCAAGATGCAATTGAGTGTTTCATAGTGTTTCAGGTCTGGATGTACAGTATAGAGCATGCAATAAATGTTCACACACTTCAGAGGCTTTACAATACCTGCAGCAGGGCAGAGACTGATGCTCAGAGAGTTTACAAGCCGTTGACCTGCTATAGCTGAGTGTATCTTGAAAACAACGTTGGGTCCAGAGCTGCCGTGCCGTGCCGGGACTCTTCTCATCTCTGCTGCTGATGTGAGGAGCTGGAGGAGGAGGCTGGCAGAGCCGGCTGAATGCAGATAGGATCTCTGTGGGGGGGCGTGAATGTGCGATCGGAGACTAAAATCATTACAGCACGCCTGGTCACTGTGTCCTTGGCTCTTCCGCTGAGCTGATGCTGATGCTTTCCTCTATTTCCCGCTCTGCCTCTTTTTCCCCTACTTTTTGTGTCCCTCTCTTTTTCTCCCACTTACAATGTATCCAGCATTACACATCATGAGCTTTAAATAACAATTTCTCACAAATGTTTTATACTTCCTGTAGGTACAAATCCGTCCAAAAGTTGTTCTTCCTGCAACGTTTAATTTTGCACCTATAATTCATGAAAGTCAGCAATGACGGAATTTGTGTTAATGTGGTCAATATGTATTGATGTATTAATCAGTTTGTCAATACAAACTGATTAATACAGCTTCTGTAAGTGGTTGATATGAATCTATTTATTTGAGAGTTTAATCATGATGAAGGCTTAAATTGAATTTGGACAGCTTTCTTTTTTACATTTGATAGATATTATGGTTTGGTTATTTGTTATTTTCTCTGGTAATTGCTTTCAGGCACTCACTTTTTGCTCTGGGACTCCAGCTGAGTGTCGACATGTTTGTTTAGTTCAGAATTCTTGGAAGACAATAAGATACTGTACATAGTACACAAAGCCCTGTTTCCTCTCCTGTGTGTTTGACTCGCTCCTCACACTGCTGATAATATGTAGAAGGTCAAAAGAATCCCCTACAGCAAATACAAAAAAAGTAGGCCTAGTTTTTGTTATTTGGGGGTTATTATCATAACTGTAAATATAGTCCTTGTTCTCCTGGTTCACCCCAGCTGCACTCATGCCCCCAGGCTGCAGTGGCTGTCCAGAGAGAGAAAGAGGGAGAGAGAAAGAGAGGGAGGTAAAATGTAAACTAGACTTGCCTTCCTTGGGTCTCATTGGTTGATTCTCTGCCTAGCGGTTTTGTCCTTGAGAATGTGCAGACACGGGGCAGATAATGTTCTGACACCAGTAACTCTAGACCGGGACCAGATCAACACTTACTCCCTCCTGCTTCTTCTACTTCTCTGCTTCTAATGTCATACTATACCGGATATGCAGATTGAAGAACGCCAGTGTTTGTTGATGTGTTTTGTGTTTAAATCACGAAGAAAATCTAATAGAACTGCATGGACTTATTATAACCTATATGTGTGGCATATCTGCATGCAAGCATAATTAAAACAGGATACAGACTCCTGCAAGCGTGTTGACACGTGGCAATCATAAATTCCATTAACGTTAACCATAAACATATCTCTCTGCAGGCGCGCACGAGGGGATTATTTTGAAGCTGAGGTCTGGCTCCGCGCATCACGAGACAGGGTTGGACTTTGTGAATTTAGACAAATTGTGAAACAACCAGTAAGATTGAACCTTTTAGTTAATTCAAAGCCATGCACGACTAAACCCCCAAATTATTGCACCACTTAATGTAAATCGGAGGTTTTCATCTCTTCTCCGGTATGTTGCAAGGTCAAATATCTCCTTTTACCGTGCGCTCTTGTAACGGCGGGGTTTCTGCAGAAGTCAGCATGCCAGCAGAGGCCAGCAGCATGTATAGGAATCTCCCTGCAGCGCCACATAAACGGCCAGACCCGGTGATCTAATCACAGGAGGCCAGTGGGCTGTGGTCCAAAAATGTCCACATCATCCTCTAATCTGAAAATAAAGTAAAGGCCAAGGACAGGATATAGAGGTCAGTGAAAATAAGTTCTTAAAAGATAAAACAATGTTCCTGTCGCTCTGGCTTTAATTTAGTATTTTTTGCAGAAAGTGAGTGTTGCTCTGGCGCTACTTTCACTGGAGTGTGTGCTTTCTGATAACTTGTAAAATGCTGTTAATGCGACTCTAATCTTGTAATCATATCGCAAATCTTTTCAATAGCAGTGGAAAAAAAGGTCTGAGAGGTAATTATTGCCATTTCAATGACTTTAATAAGCAAAATAGGAAACAATTTCTTCCAAAAACAACCGAAAATAACACAAAACAGAAACCAGCCTGAATGGAACAGTTCAAATGTAAGTGTTTAACTATTATTTATACAAACAGGATTGAAAATTGATCCCCATCATCGCAAAGTACATGGAATAGGTGAAAACAAAACAACAACCCGCTGCTGCAGTTTCAATTCGATTTCAACACAGTTGAATCAGTAACAAACCAAAGATTGTTAAATGCATGACTTTTCAACAATAGTTTCAAATGCAAGCACCATGCTTATTCGATATGAGCTGACAGTTTGTTAATTTAAATCATTAAAATAAAAACTTTAACTATGCATCTGGCCAGCAGAACCAGAATCATCAAATAATAATAAAACAGACATAAAACGTTATTACATAACATAAACATTGTTTTCATTTTGAGAATTTGCACAACCTGAATCCCCTTTTTAACTGACCGGCAGAAAAAAAATCAGGAAAACATAGAACATTAATAGTTAAACTTTGTTTAAAAAAAATGCTCGCGCTATCTAAATATTAACTCTACAAAAACCCCCTGACAAGTTGTTTTTTCTTAATATTTTTACAAATATAAATCATCAATATTAGGCCGAGTGATAAAATGCTACAGGTGGCCGCCAATCGGAATGAGAGGTTTTGTTTGGGTTTGATGTGGTTCGTTAAAGAGTTAATAGGAAAGGCAGAACAGCACTTTTCTGAATTAGTGGCACAAAAACCACGATGAATTACAATGAGAGAGCATCAACCCACTTTGTATGTGCTAAACAGGATGTAGAAAACTTGTAACCTCGCCTTTATGCGCCTATTCTGTGCAATCTGGGTCCAATAATATTGTGACCACATGTTTGCCTCCCCAGCCTCGCAGAACATGTTTCCAAATATTACTTTTAAACTTTGCACGTAGGCCTGAGTTGAATAAAACACGATATAATATCATAGTATGTCTTCCTGGAGGGAGGTCCGCACAAACTTCAAAATGAAAACTGGCAAATCATCATCTAAAAGTGCACTTGACACACAGATGTTGTTGTATTTAAATGCCACATAAGGAAATGCACTCCTCAATCAATACCCCAAATGATGAAAAACAAAATCATAAAAAATAAATGAAATAAAAACACAACACAAAGAAAGAAAGAAGTTCAAACCAGCCTCCTCAATCTTGTTGTGCAGTTTTGCGGTTGCATAATATTTACAAGCCCAAAGAAACCCACACCATTATGATACTGCACCGGCAGTCCTGCTGTTCTGTCCCCGCTGCATTTCTCTAAACCCCCCACACTATGGAGAAGCGCAGATCAAAAACATGCTCTTAATATACACGAGAAGATGAAAGTACAAAATAGAAATTATTACCGTACATGTCCAGCATGCAGGATTAATATTTAATGCAGATTTTTTGTTTCAATATATATTCGAATATAACCAAGCAGGCAATAAATCAATGAGATGTTGCATAAAATGTCCCCCCGTGACGGGCTAGTAGACAGAAGTTAAATTTGCATAAAGTGGAGTCTTGCTTTTGGAGATTTTCTCAGATTACGGGCCCACTTGTCGAATGTGAGTCTCGTGTGTGTTGCAGGCTGCGAGGCCAGGCCTGCTTGTTGTTTCATAACAATGTCATCATTTTGGAGAACAAAATTAGGAGACAACGGCCTCGACGCCATCCCACACTACTTACAGATTATTTCAAAACTGTAGCCTCAAAGGAGGGAAAGAAATGTTCATCAGCCGATCCTCTTCTTTGAAGAAGAAAAAAAGTCTCTTCACTACAAGCAACTAATCTACAAAGATGCTGCGACTGATCAGACACTCTACGTTGCTCTTTGTATCTCAGTTGTGGATGGAGAGATGATTATATATGAGAATACTATTCGATGGATTATTCTTCTAATATGAATATAATTGTTACTGTTATTAGTATAATCATAAACAGTATGGGAGGTGTGGACTATTTTTCGTTTGTTCAGCCAGTCAGTCTTTTGTGGAGAAAGGAAAGTTGGGGATGGAGGGGAAAGTTTGTTGTGAGGGGGTTCACAAGAAAAGGCTATGACAACTCACATGAAAAACTCTGGAGATGAAGGGTTGTCACTGGTGGAGCCAGCCTTGCGAAACCCGTTATTGGCCCCTGACCCCGAGAGTTTCTCGCACTTGAGCTTGTAGGCGTCCCTCTCCCTCGCCAGCCGGCCGATCTCTGCCTTCAGCTGCTCCACCTGGTCGATCAGCTGGGTCTTCTCGATCTCCAGCACGTGCTTCTGCTGCACCCGCTTGTACCTGCAGGACTGAGCGTAGCCCCGGTTCTTCAGGGTCCTCCGCTTCTGCTTCAGGCGGATGACCTCGTCCTTGGTGAAGCCCCGTAGGTGTCTGTTGAGCTCCCTCACCGACATGGACACCAGCTGATCGTCGGAGAAGCGGTCCTCCACGTTGAGCCCGGAGCCGTGATGCCCCCCAGACTGGCTGAGGTGGCCGTGCGAATGGTGGTGATGGTGGTGGCGGTGGTGATGGAGCGACTGGAGGGAGTCTGGGGACTCCGGGGACGGGCTGTCGGGGTCCTGGCTGTGGTGGTCCTGGCTGTGGTGAAGGTGATGCTGGCTGTGTGGGTGGCTGTGTCCGCCCGGGTGCCCGGACAGTTCATCGGTGTGGTGCGGGATGCCCCCCGGGCCATACTGGTGATGTTGCTGCTGGCCGTGGTGACTGTGGTGGTGATGCGGGCCCCTGTAGCCCTCGAAGCCGCCTTGCTGCTGCAGCTGCTGTTGGACATGCGGAGGCGGAGGGTGGCCGATCAGGGCCTCCACCGCGTCCTCCGGGGTCAGGCTGAGGGTCTGTGGGTCTATCTGCTGTTGGTACCCGCTGTTCGGCATCCAGTACAGCTCCTCTAGGTGGCTCTTCTGCTCTGTGGGGCTGAAGCTGGGCGAGGAGGGCACCGAGCTGCAGGGTGTACTGATGGGGGTGGACGACACCGAGCCTTGGGGTTGGAGACGGGTACATTGGCGAACCCCGTTGCGATCCAGCCCGGCCAGACCTTCCTTCTTCACGTCAAACTTCATCAGGTCAAAATCGTTGACATATTCCAGAGCCAGAGGGCTGCTGGGTAGCTCCGGGCCCATGCTCATCTCTGTACTCATGCTGCGACTCTTTTGCAGATTTGCAAAGGAACTTGCGAGCGTGGCCAAAACAGATTTTTTCAGCGCCTCTTCTTTCCTTTCTTGTTTCATGCAATAGTTCGTCTGGGTCCTCCACCGCTGTGCACAGACTTGCTGTAGCATGAAAAACCGTGCGATCGGTGGAAAAAAGGGAAAATGAAAAAAAAAAGTAGTGGAGGAAAACTTTCACACTAATGCTCTGCACACGGTTTGCGTCATATAGCCTACTTCTGTTGGGATAATCTGGCAGATAGACCAGACGAGAGGTAGAAAGCAATGCGTCTCAGGGCAAAAGTAATACCTCAGTCCCTTCAGTAGAAGTGTAATAAAACAAGAAAAAAGATAAATAATAATAATAAAGGAAATACCACTGTTCGCTGATACGGGCACCAGTCCTCGTAGCGACTTCTTGGTTGTTAGTCCTTTTTTTTCGCCAGGAAAAAATAATAGGAGCAAATAGGCAGAGTAAATAGGGCGTCTGATTTTCGCTGAGAAGCAGCTTTTCCAGCTCTGCACCGCAGAGATTTCAAGGCTCGCCTCTCACTTGCTCCCACTCAGTGGTATCCAGCAGACTGCGCTTGGAGCCAGCCTGCGCTTTATCCTTATAGCGCACCGTGACGTCGTGCTGAAAGGCTGGATCTGTAGCGCGCAGCTCTCCAATGGGAGCAGGACTCTGCGCTGAAATAGAGGAAGAGGAGGAGGAGGAAAAGAGAGGAGATGAGGGCGCACAATACAGTCTTGACAACTGCAGACAGTCAGCTGACCGACTTCCCTAAAAGCAGAAGGTGGGAGGAGAGGGAGAGAGAAATGCCTTCACTTCATGGACACGACTCCGGTGTAACGCACCTCTCCCTGTCTTATCTTATCTCAGCTCAGTGAGAGCTATGTAAAAGATAAACAGGCTAAACTGCTGTTTGATATGAACATTATCTAATAGCACATACATGTTACGAAACTCCCTTAGAAAACATACGCTTTAAACTTAAAACCTTAACAGTTTGTATAACAATTAGTAATAGGGAAAATTCTGGTGATAACAATTCTACCAGTTGTTTGCAAACACATATTGACTTCTATCATTTTCCAGAAGAACATGTTTCTTAAAGAAACAAAAGACGATGCACATAACTCCCTTGATTTTGCCAGAATGTTATTTTCAATGAAATAGCTCGAAACAGCTAAAAAAGTGCCTTCTTTTACTTATTACAACGTATTTTTGTACAAGTGTACTTGTAATTTCACAAATGATCACACCATAAGTTAGACTTTGCTAGAAGATGCCAGAAGATAATGTTGAGGTGCAGGTCACCAATTGTAACAGTAAAAATCTTGACCTTTCCAACAAGGACACACACGTTGTGTTACTCCCCTCTTAAAGTTGCAATCACAAACACATTGTCTTTCAGTCAGATTTTGAAGCTTAGACTTTATTAAAGCTCTAAATAAAACATCAACATATAACACTTTACAATAGTTGGCATTTGATATGTCAATATTGACTGTATTGTGTGTACCTTCCTGTTCTAAACTTCATAGATGTTTTAAATAATCCAGGCTACGATGGGACCACAGCACTCATGTGTGTATTTGTATAACCCTGTGTTACAATCATTTTGGGTTAAGTGTATTTTGTTCTAGTGAAAGCAAAGTTGACTTTGTTCAGAGCCTGTTATTACTCCCGGATTCCCACATCAGGCTGCTCTTGGCTCGGACACTTGATTTTACACCGTGCAGCATCACAACAGGGGATCAGCAGAAAACAGGCTCAAGGCTGCCCCTGCGTGGGCAACACATGAACCGATGCTGCTGCTGACAAATATTTATTTTATTCTGCATTTCTTCTCTGCGTTAATTGCTCATTTTAAAGGTCACACCCGGCAATTATGACTGACAACATTTAATTTATGTCATTTGAGTTTCATAAACACGTATTGTCCCTTTGTTATTAATCTTGTTGACAGTCTAACAAGTAGTTAAGCCGAAATAGGAACATATGCTCAAGGATGTGCGCGTTATTATAGATTTGATTTGTATTTTAATTGCCGGACAAAAAAAGTAGTGTGAGCAATTGTCTCGCTTCCCTGCAAAAAGAAACTGCTTGTAAATGAGTCAATTTGAAGGATCGATTGGATTATCATTTCGTTTCCACCTCATATCCACGGTTGAGTACAGCCGCGACCAGAGCGTATTGATCAGGCTGGATGTAAGAGGAGGCTGCCAAAGATGAGATCCGATAATGAAGGGCTTATTTGTTTGGTTTAAATTCTTAATCAGTTGGAGTTGTGCATCAGTAATGAACTCCGAATACAGTCATAAATCACATTCCTATGCTCGCTAATTTATCATATCATAAAAGTATTTAATTCCGATAATATCTAAGGATATTTTTGCTTTGAAAAAGGTTCGACTTAAAACATATTATACACAGCTATGAATTAAAAGAGATGGGTTCAAAATAAATGAAATCATAAAATGACATTCTTTAGTAATTTTGAAGACAATATTAACATTTACCTGAAGCATAAATGAGAGACTTGAAGAAACGAATGATTATTACTTACCAAAATGTCATCGTTAATTATTATTAATGATAGTATCGTTATTGTTGTTGTTATTATTGCCATTATTACATTTAGTTTATATTATGTTTTAAGATTTTGGATTAATCTTAAAATATACAAAATGTGTAATTCTCTTTAAAGTTAACAAAAGTGCACTTTAATGCAACCCTGAATACATTTTTTTCCTCTTTTGATTTTTATCAAGAGAGAATTATGATTATACTGAACCTTTCTAACATCTTATTATACCTATTTAGCAGTCACTACTTCTTATTTTTCAGCCTCAAAGCGCCTGGATATCACCCCATACTGCTGCACTTAAATACAAATTGAATCCAATTTAACTGCACAATCAAAAGCGTGCAGGTAGCATTCAAGTGAGTCATCCTCTTTTTAATTCCCTTTAACTGCAGGCGAGCTTCTCAATTCTCAGCTCCAACTTCAGAAGTGCCCTGAGCGAGTCGTGCCGTGCCGAGCCTAGCTGCTCTAAAACCCCTTCCCAGCGAGGCCGACTCCACGGCAGCCCCATTAGGTCGTAATGCTCTTTAATATAGCCCGAGTCCACCGCCTAATAGATCCAGGCAGGCCTGCCGGCGGCTCTCCCCCTTCGGTGCTAACGGGCTGTAATGGAGAGACGAGATGTAAAAAAGCGTCCATGTCAGCAGCATATTGGTGGTTAATGATCTATTAAGTGATCCGTGTGCTTATGGACAGCGAAAAAAGTGTTGATGCTTGCTTATTCGCCCCTAATGAGAGTCCCATCCTACGGATTTTAGGAATGAATAACAGAAATAAAATCACCTTTATAATGATACTTTAACAGTTGACGCATGGAGGCTGCAGTGGCTGCAGAGCTTCCCACAGCTCACATCTCACACCTGCAACAGGCCCGCTGCTTTCACAGGAGGCCCATGGTGCTGTCTATAGGAAGAGACATGATGCCCATCACTAATATGGATCTGTATTCTGCTCCAGGACCGATCTGTGCATGGGCACTTGCTGTCTGAACGCCTGGATGCATTGCCAAGATCGCTTGGATCTGTGGGTGCTCAAACTTCGTCGGTATGGGAGGATGCAGGGACAATGAGGAATACTTTTTTACAGTCAGAAGCAGACTCTGTCTCTAACTCTGAGGTAAACAGTTGGTTTTATTTGCTCTTCTTTTGACCGCTTGGCGTGCGTAATGATTAACTCTGTCTCTAATGGTCCCCCCGACCATTCCTGGAAATGTTACAAAACAAAACGGAGAGCATCCGATTTGGAAGGCCCCTGACAGGGAGAGTGAGGGATGGAGATGGAGAGATGGTGCTTTCGGAAGTGTTGCTTTGATGAGCTTTGACGCAGGAGGGGAGAAAGAGACGCGCAGAGCTCGTGCAGCCACAGCTTCAACGGCCAAAAGTTTTACCCGTAACCGCTTTCATTATGCAGCAACGACAGACTTTAAAATGTATTTTAGGTTTTAATTTGGAGAACTTATAAATGTAAATGTACGTTCAGTTTTTCTCTATATGCGATTTACAGCTTCCTTATGATCAATGTTATTTTTTTAACAAAAACCACCGAAATCTGTCGAAAAATGTTACGATGCCAATTCACAATTATTTAAAATTGCAGTTGAGTGTATGTTCACTTACGAACTAAAATGTTAGACCTACAACTCATTAAAAAAATATTTGTAATACTTTAACTGTATTATTCAGTTTCACACCCTGAATCCAGTGTAAACAGGTGGCTCCATTAATTAACTTACTTTGTGTTTTTGCATGAGATAATGATACCAGTGGTTATGCGCAAATACAATCCTTCACGTGATTTCTATTTGTTTTTCTATTGCATCACTAATTTAATGTCTTCCATTTACAGTTACTCTGGCATTCTTGTTTACTTCAGACTAATCGATTATCTCTGTGAAAACATGTATTATTAAGACGTGTCGTCTGTGTAAACAGGCAGAGGCCAGCCACTGCAGAAAGCTCACATCCTCATCAGCGATAATTGACTGAGGAGTCTTTCAGGAAAACAAGAGGTGAGATAAGTGCAAAAACTGGCAATCTCATTAATATGAAAAAGTATCGATTTAACAGTGAACATCAATTGTTTATCTGTCGGCAAAATCACTCTGCAAGCTGTCTGCCTCGGTCTTCTTTTGAAAAACATAATTCTTCACCGGTGTTATCAGAGGAGACACACTCACTATTTACTCGGTGAGAAGGTAGTTGTGTTTGCAGGGGAAATTAGATCTTATTTCTTGTGACAGGGCGCCTCTGGTGGCGCATTTACTCATTGCTAATAGTTTGATGTGTATCATCGATGACATGCAGTCTTTTTTTACACTTTCTCCATTTAGACTGCTCCAACTTCAGAACTCAGTCTTTTTTTAAATGACAGAGAGGATATACAAATGTGATGTTGAGGCCAAGGCATAATTGTAGGCCTTTTCTGAGATTAGATGTCTCTGATTGACATGTTGTAAATATAACAACAAATAAATGTCAGTACGCACTGTACTGGCTTAAACCCAAAAGAAAAAACAATAAATCTGCCTTTTGCTGTGGTCATTTCATTAATGTAAATTGCAATGCTATGTACAATAGTTTGGCTTCCTTCCAGTTGGCTCTTTGCTGAGGTTTATGTATAACATTGGGTCTAATCATAAACTGGGGCTGTGTAACCACAAAATGTAGGCGACACCACAAGAACCAAATATCAGAGTGCAAGCATAACATAATTAAAGCCCATATTCTCTGGTCGTAACCACAATTGACATCTGTATTTTTGGGCCAATAACTGGCTACTGTAACTCAGAAACACAACTTAACTCATGATGTATTAAAAATACATAATTATGATAATGTATTTTTATGAGGAGAACCTGTTTCTTGTAAATATAGTTGGCATATGCCTTAGGTTGCCCATACAATTGTCTCCATTCTTTATGTTTCATTTTTGCTTTGCACAGAATCAGTGTTTTCTCTTAAACTCTGTCGGGGATTAACATGTCAGTGTTAAGGAGCATCCTTTGTTCATGGCCCTCTCTAATTGTCTGCATATTGAGCTGTCAGACAATATCTCTGGTTTATATTAAACTCC